ACAATCTGCCGGGACTCTTGGAAAGAACGACGCTTTTGTTCAAACTGGCTGTAGATCTCACTCAGCTCCTGGCCGGCCTGCGCATCGAGCAGCATGATCTCCTCGATGTCAAGCCAGGGTTGTACCTCAGAGTGAGTCCACCAGACGCCATCTCCATCTTGAGTTTGCCACTCGTCCTCGAAGTAGGTCCATTCCACCTCGTTGCCAGCTGCAGACACCGTCCAACAGGTGTCAGAGTGCTCTTCCGGAGATTCATCAAAGTCTGGGCCATGGGCTGCCCAACACACTTGGTCATCGGAGGGTTCGTCCGCCCAGCCCTCTGGCGGTGCACCCCAGCTGCCATCGACTTCTACCCAGTACGCTCGTCGGGAAAGAGTCGAACCCTTCCCTGACGCATGCCTCTGGTTCTTCTCCACGCTGAGCAGCTCCTCCTCTTGGTCACGAAGAGTCCTCTCGACTTTGTTGAAGGTCAGATCTCCTTGGATAGCACTCTGCACAGCCAAGCGGGCACTTGAGGAAAGACCAGCCTTTCGAAGAAGCAACCATCCCAGCACCTCTTCAGGGACCACCTCCTCATCGTGAAGAAACTCTTCCCACTGTATCTCGGACTCGGTGCCGCTGGACTCATCCTCATCGTCCTTGCGTCGCCATCGTCCTTCTCGCCAGCGACGCCAGTCTTTCTCACTCCAGGCGGCATCCCTGTACGGTTGGTACCAGGACTCGACACCATCCCGAGCACGAGATGGAGCATCCTGCTCCTCGAAAGGAGCTTCTTCTCCGGGCACTCCTCTGGTTGGCTTGGCATCCGGGGAGGCAGCACCATCCTTTGGCATAACCGTGGTGGTGCTCTTGCGAGCACTGCCAGCATCATGAGGAGGCTCCGGCTCTTCCACGCTGCGCTTGGGCTCACCACTGGAGAGTTTGGGCCCAGCCTTGATGGACCCACGGGGAGCTGACTCCAGGGACTTCACATTCTGCTCCGTCAACGGACTCCTCGTTGCCTGCAGTTTGCCAAGGGACCGCTTCAGCATGCGGTAGCACTCTCTAACCTGGGATGCCCATTGAGACATACCAGTCCCTGGGGTTCTCCTGAGCTTCACGAACATGTCCTCGAGGCGGAGGCCCAGGTCGTTAATGGGCGACTTGAGGAGTCGTTCTTCTAAGAAGCGAAGGAGATATCGAGGACCGGTAGACTTGCGTAGCTGTTCGTGATCCACTTCCACGGACACTTCCCAGGCCTTCCCTTTGAGGCGACTGACCAGCTCTGGACCCAGCAGCTTGCGCTTGCGCGCCTCAGTACGTTCATAGGCCAGGCGCACTCGGCGCACGTAGTCTTGCCAGCTGCCATAGTCGCCAGACCAAGTCACTTGCTCCAGGGACCCATCCTTCAAGGCCCCGCGTCCCTGCATCACAGCTCTCTCTTCTCTCACAGCGGACCCACTGGACAGTGGGCTCCGCTACCAATTTCGTTGGTAGTACACCCTGCAAGGTTGGAAGCTGAGACTCAAAAAGGTACGGCACTAATGCCTCTCCCACCGCACAGCACTGATGCTGTAGGCAAAGCTGCACTCAGCTTTTTCTCACCAGCTCAAAGCCGGTCCATAGCTTCCAGAAAAGCCTACATGGCAAAAGGATATCCTGAGCAGGATATGGCAGCAGCAGAAAAGCGACTTCGGGCATCGCAGACACTGTACACTGGCTCAAGAGCATAAGAGCCTGGGGCTGGCATTTGACAACGCTCGTCAACTGTTGCGAGAGAAGGTCCAACAAGGTTTGCGCACCCATGGCCTTGAGTAAGCCCAGGGCCTATACCTTTCAACCTTTCCGCCTGCTCAGTCAGCTAGTCCTTTTGGTCCATTCATGTAATCATGCAATCCTGCTATCTTGTATAATGCATGCCAAGTTCATTAATGCTCTCCTGGCGCCACTCTGCCAACATGCGGTCGAGCTGATGGAAGCGTTCCTCAGCCTGCACATGTTGGCGCTCAAATCTGAGTAAACCGCTTCTCGCTCGATCCCCTGCTTGGAGCATTTGTCGCGTATGGCTGCTAAAGGGCGAAGCGTGCAGTCAGTGTGGACATGTGCTTGACATCGTACCAAGATGTACCAATACCACGTTCTTTAGACTTGATGTGGGTGGATCGCATTCAACACAGACAACGACACGGTTGGCGGGAAAATCGGCAACCGGAACGATTCAGAAACCAGCCATGATTCGGAAACCAGAACGGCTCATTCGAAACCACGACGGCTGATTCAGAAACCAGACCGACTGATTCGGAAACCAGAAGCCGAATTACATACATATACATACATATACTCCCATCCATACATACATCCATACATTCGTCCATACGTACATTAGATTGCATGCGAAATTACATACATGATCTACGGCCTGAGGCCCCTCTCCGGTGCTCCGGTGCATTCTTGACTTCCGGGTGTCACCCCTTTCCCCCGTCCCCTTTTTGTTGTGTTTCAGAGTTGGCTTGTGAACTTGTCTCTGCCAGGTTGCTTTCCCCCCATGAGAGTTGATATAAGCATGGTTACGGCTGTTCGTTAGCAGATCTTACTGTGATTCCTACCACACTAGCGGCTTTTGGTGTGAATGTTTACAGGTACGATCCCAGCTTTGGGAAGGGGAGGGGAAACTTTAGGGTGGCACGCCATGGCGGGGTGAGGGAGGATGAGCCTGAACCCAGGATCATACTCGCATGCCTGCAAACCCACCTGCTAGCTACTTACCTACCTGCCTGCCCACCTACCTACATACTTAGACGTTGGATCTAAATTAGCATATCCCCGAATGACCTTCTTCACGAAAATATAGTTTTCTTTAGCGGAACTTCCGCCCTAACTTTCGCGTGCCCTTCGCGGACACGCATTCATGTATATTGTTGAACATATAAGAGTTCTATGAGGACTGTTTACAGGCTCTATATAAGACTCTTTCAGGGTTCTAGTATAGGCGTTCTTTGGGCGTTTTAAGCAGTGGAGTTTAGAGTTCAAGCTTCGGCGTGTAGGGTGCGAGGCTAAGGTTGAGGCCGGTCAAGGGTTCGGGCGCCCATGAACCGTGCCTACAAGGTCCATGCTCCCGGCTGCAGTGACAGTGCTAGTGACTACGCAAACGCTAGTGCTAGTTGTGGTGTGTGGCACTAGTAACCGCGTAGAAATAGCAATGACACGTTGGCTCGATATGGCAAACTCGGCTTTAGCAGGACTTTCGCGGAACTTTCACGGATCTTTCGCGCTACACGCACTAGCGACATCGCATCTGCTTGAAGCATGCTGCGTGATTCAGTTGAAATGTTGTGCTAAGCAGCCTTAGACCGATTGCCGAGAGGAGCACGAAACGACACCTGGGTAAGGAAGACAAAAGTAGTAGCAGCAGCAGCAGCAGCAGCAGCAGCAGCAGCAGCAGCAGCTTCAGCAGCAGAAGCAGCAGCAGAAGCAGCAGTAGTAGTAGTCGTCGTCGTCGTGGTGGTGGTAGTAGTAGTGGTAGTAGTAGTAGTAGTAGTAGTAGTAGTAGTAGAAGTAGTAGTTGTTTAGCTAGGACATGCATCAAAGTAATTTGACTCTTGTGGCAAGAGACCCAAGTGAATGAACTAAACCATGCTTACGTTTCACTCCAATGTGTTTAATTCGTTCACTTAGTTCTTCTGTTTGTTCATTGCAGTCACTCCTTGTATCATGTGTTTTGAAGTGAATGACTGTGAAGAGAACGGAATGAACCAATGAAGAAAACTAACCCAAGAACATATGGTAGATCTCTGTATTAATAATTAGTTGGCATGTAGGCTAATGATTACGGCAAATGCAATAATTATCGCAAAAAGTGATTTCTTTAGTGGACTCATCGCGGAACTTTGGCGACAGCATGTTATGTTATGCCGGTGGTCGTTTTGTAAAAATACAGCGACAAGGACCTTTAGATCGATGCTCACTTGCATGTGTACACACAACACCACATGTAGTTGCACACGCGCAAGTTTACCCTACACACAGCCAAAGAACAGGTCGAATTTGTCAGCATCCCAGCCTCACATTTCACGAATTGCTCCAGCTCGGACTTCAACGACCTACATGCGATCAAGACTCTGTACTGCCAGGCATGAGCTGGAAACGATCCGAGCAATGCCCTGCACAGATCTGTGGAGGCAGTGATTGAAAGGACTCATTCCCAAGTCTCCAACTTGCAGAAGGACTCCAGCTCTGCGAAACCTTTCAGGAGGATGTAAACTACATCGATTGTCATGGATGCAAACATCGTGATTTGAATTGCTGTTTGCAGTGCTTGCACGGGAAACACGGGGTCATGCAAAAACATTAAACATGAAGTTCACGATCACTTCTAAATTCATGCCAAGGTGCGATTGTCCAGATCTCCAGGCTCGCGCAGAGACCATTCTGCTCCTTTAGATGCCTGCAGATGCGAAAAAAAATGCATCCAAACGATATGCGAAAGGTGGATGGGGAAATGAGCTTGTTTCCTGTAGCTGCTTTACCTATGCAATGCTTGTCTCGAACCAGTAGTAGTCAGCAGCTTTCCGTGGAGATGCCCTTGCGTGGCCCTTTCGATTGAAGCAGTGGCAAAAGAAGCGATGAGCTCAACAAATGACATTGGGGAAGCCCATGCCTGCTCCGTGTCGTGGACAAAGATGCTCTTCCGATTGTCACTCGCGCTGCCGTTTTGTAGCTTGGCGAACACTTCGATCAACATCTTGTGGATCTCCTCATGCAGAACCATGGCAAAGCAAGTTCTAACCAAAACACTTCGTCGAGCATCTGCGCTTCCGAATCTACATAGAAAGGAGGCAATTGGGGCTACAATGTCCGCCCTCGGGTGATGTGAGACGGAACAGGACCTGAACAGTCGGCACACCGGCACACCCTCTCAACATGAAGTAATTCCGCATGTGCAGACAACAGTTGCATAGAACATGGGTTCCGGGTGGTCTCGGAGCGCCTGAACTTCCTGCTTCCGGGCCCCTCGCTCCTCCTTGCAGTGCAATAAACACGACATGCATGAACAACAAAGGGCGTCCGGTGTCCTCAATCATTGCCAGCAAAGCATCACACCTCGCATCTGCAATTTCCTTGCTGCAGGGATATTCCAGTAAATGCACGTTCCGAAAAACTTGCAGCAAAGGGCACGACAAGCAATGCTCACGGGCTCTCTCTCTCACACACACACTTGTTCCACAATTATACTGCAAAAAATGAAGGTGTCCTTGCCTGCTGTGTACCTGTTTGCTGTTCGTGCTGTGTGTGAGAAAAGGTTTCTGCGAACCTCATTGCTGCTAGTCCTACCGTTAAATGTCTGCAACATGCTGACTGAAAACTGCTTATCCTGCTGCAACACAGGGGCAATCAAATGATTTTGGCTGCATGTCCGTACGAAGAGCATCCACTTCCCAAATCCTAATTTCATGATCTCTCAACGCCGCAAAAGGCATCAGCTTCAAATCTGGATGCTACAGCGGCCCCCATCCTTTTCTGCGGTTACACTGGACTGATCGGGTCCCGCTTCCCACTTGCATCCACGGCTTCTGGGAGTGCGGAACGCACATGCCACACTCCCCTGCAAGAACGTCTGAAGTGTATTGCAAGTGCAGGAATCCTCAAAGCTACGGACATGGCATGTCATGTCTACGTGACCCTTGCTTCCATGGGCCAGGACGGTACGGGCACACACACACACACAACAAAAAACACACCCACCCACACACACACACACACTCGTGCGCGCGGGCAGGAACACGGAGAAACTAGACACACACACACACAAAAGCTGCTTGCGACCAATAGTCTCCTGGGGTGAAGGACATCACCTTGTCGTGGCGTTGGCACGATCAGTTCTGGCTACGACGACCATCAAAAACTAGGTCATAACACATCAAGCTACAGAGTTGTCCGTCACCATCCGCCGCATGCCAGCGTCGGAGGCTGGCATAGCCGCAGCCATAGCTCGCTTGAAGCGGTTCAGCAGCTGGCCTTGAGAATCCTTGAGAGTCTTGCTGGCAGGCAAGCAATGCTGTGCAGAAAACCCAAATACCACCAAGACCTTGCCAATAGAATAGGAAAAATGTCCCGATAATAGGCATGCATTCGGACGCTTTGTTGTCAGAGCACGACTTTGGGTTGCAAACCCGATTGAATCTTGTCGGACGACTCTAGAGGCAGAATCCTCTAAGTGCGCTCGGTAGCATTAGCAACGTTCTGCGAAGCAGCTAGCGATGCCAGTGGCAAACGACTTCCCCCGCTGACATTCAAGTTGGCTTTGCTAGCACACCGACCCGAGGCACGCAGCTAGGATCAAACATGGTATGGTCGGCGGGAGGAGTTTTTGGCAGAGATCCAGGTCCGTTGAAACATTCCGACAAGGGCTTTGTTCTACATGCCGCCATCCAGAGCTCTACCTTTGATTGCTTGCCCGGGCTATCATACTTAAGCAGATGCAACGGAACTGGCAGTGCGTGGTACATTATGTTGGTGAACTTGCGCTCAGCAGTTCGTCTTCCAGCTTGTTCTCGCTGTTCTCTGGCCTCCGCCTTATCGCACGACATCGGAACTTCCGATGACGGCTCCCGACACTAGAGTTCACACCCATTAAAAGAAATGCATTGCAACCACTGGACTCAACAAGTCCTATGCTCACCCATGCCGAAGTAAGGACCAAGCTTGGGAGGGTCCAGCTCTATCTTCCTGATGCCTGAAGACCGTCCGAACTTGAGCGAAGAAAAGAATCCGCACAAGAAGCCTGCTGTGAAAAAAAACATGAGGAGGTTGCCTGTTGCAGAGGCTGCTCCATCCACTTCCGAAGACACCGCTCCTGCCAAAAAGTTTCCACACGTTCACACATCTACTGCCCTGATATTGATGAGACTGATAGTGACTTGACCTCACGGTGCTACTGCAAAGCCACGATCATGAGCCTCGGAACGGACCGGCTTGTCCCTTGGACGTTGACATGTGTAACATTGATCTGCGTGCTAAGCTACTGCTAAGGCGATCAAGAACGGAATTGAAGGGAATCCTCCCATACTTCCCACTAGCAGGAAACGCTGCAGTCGGACTCGGCGATCCAATAGATTTCCTATGCGCACTTCCAGGAGTTGGCAAAATTCGCACCGCCCACACACACACGCACACGTACGCTACGCCACCAATTCGCTGCGCGAATTCACTCGATGGGCACTCACCGATAGGCCTTCGCTCCCGGCACCGCAGTCAAAGAGACGGCTAAACAGAGACCGATCGGAGGTTTCACTTCGCGAATGGCCTCGGCGTGCAACAGCCTGGGGCTGTGTGAAGTGCCTCCGCTTCACTGTGCGAAGCGTCGATGCCCCAACTGCGTCAGGTGGTCCACCGGACAAAACCTTCATCTCCTCTGCACTGCTAACAAGCAAACACCGCCCACGCTTTCTTTTTCGCCTCGACCTGCGCGACTGTATTGGAACCGTTTTAAACGACACGCTCGAAGAAACCGCTGTTCGGATTGGAACATCGTCAGGGCCGGTGAGGCGGGACTTGAAAAAGCTGCTGCCCGTACCGGCAAACTCGAGAGGCAACATCGTCGAACGGTTTTGTCACGTGATGCACACGTGAACAACCAGACGAAACCCTGTTCTACTCTGTACTGCTAACAGGCAGACACCGCCCAGGCTCTCCCGTTTCGCCTCGACCTGCGCGGCTGTTTTGGCGTTCTGTCTGCTGACGAACGGGTTAGAGGGACAGAGCCGTTTTAAACGGCACGTGATGCACACGTGCACAACCAGACGAAGCCCTGATCTCCTCTGCACTGCTAACAAGCAGACACCGCCCAGGCTCTGTCTTTTCGTCTCGACATGCGAGATTGCGTTAGCATTCTGTCTGCGAACGAACGGGCTGGAGCGACAGAACCGTTTTAAACGGCGCATGCGGTGGTTAGCCAAACACGCCGTCCACGACTGAGGCTACGGCATCACTCGGGCGTCTTTTTGGATGGTGCGTGGCTATGGGTTCCCCCATGTTCTTGCATGGTCGAAGAACTGTGTAGCCCCTCTGACCAAGACTGGTGCCCCCTTTGCGAGACACGGGTTTCCGATCGGGCTTGGTGCCCTGCCATTTGCTTAGTCATGACCTCATCCTTGTCCCTCGCCCATCGCCGGGGTACAGTGTCGTCTTCGTGCGGTCGCTTTCTGGGGAGCGGAGGACGTCGGTCGTCTGCACCGGGTTCTCGTTCAGTTGGTACTCGAGGTGGTCCTGAGTCTGCAAACCACGATCATGTTGCATGTCGCCTCAACCCTGCTGCTGGCCCACAAAGACGGAGGTCCTAACGGTGCCAGGGTCAGGTGAGGACTTCGCGAGCCTAAAGCTTACAGTGCGTGGCCTCAAGCCGCCCGCCGTTCAGGGAATACGTCCACCCCCAGGTTTTGGAGAGCAAACACTTTCCAGCCGCAAGGGCCGCTTCTTAGCCCGAACAGTAAGCCAGCAAACCACTGTTGCTCTCAAGTACTGGCAAGTTCCGGATCACGTCCAACATGCTTCCCCCCGTGTACTGGTGCTATTCCTGGATCTAAGCTGTGGTCATCTGTGGTCCATGTGTTGGAATTTACAGCGAAGCAGCCGGCTCTCGCGGAAGCGGTTTCGCACAGATCCTTTCAACGCAGGCAGCAACGGCGCCACAGCGGCAGCCGCATTCCTGGCAACTAATGCTGTTTCTGCGCACACAGCGATGGCCAGCAACTTTTCTACGCAAAACGTCCGAACCCGCTACGCTGTACCACGCCTTTACTGGCTTTGACACCATAGTTTCGCACAAGTCCGACCCGGAACTATTGAAATCTCATTTACTGAAATTTTCTAATTGGTTTTTGATCCTTTCGAACTTGTTCTTTATCATTATCGCTCTTCCCAGGAATCGCACTGGTATTTGCAGCCGATCCCAGACCCTTAATTCGTTTTGATCCTTCCTAAAATATTTCTTGATCCGTTGAGCCTAATTTTTTGTTGATCCTTCCCAATTTTTTTGGGGGATCCTCCGCGCCTCCAGAGGCAGGCTCCAACGGATTGAGCAAAGACCTTGGCCAAACTACCCCTCGACTTGAGGCGCCGCTGCTCGAGACTCGAGATGGTCCATCAGGTCATCCTCGGACATGTCCATGAGCACACATAGTGCTGTCACGACCAGCGCTGCATGGCCCGAACGAGGCTCCACACCAGCATCGGTTAGGTCAAGCAGCAGGGCGACCATCCCCCGTGACTATCCTCGACTGACCCGTCCGGATGCGGCCCTGCCATGCTCATTCGGCAGCTCTCGACCGAGTCGGTCCCTGCATCGGCCATGGCTGCGCTGGAGGACTACTTGAAAAAATTGCTGCCCGCACTGGCAAACACTCGAGAGGTAACATCGTCGAACGGGTTTTGTCACTTGATGCACACGTGCACGGCCAGGCTACCTGCAGGACCTGCAGGTGCCGGATTCGCCCCATTGCAACCGTCGAAGGCCATGACGAAGGCCATGACGCGGGACAAAGCGGCACTCGATGCACTAGCAGAAAAGCGTAGCCATCCCGCCAAGTGCTATAGAGGCGTGGCATCTGTTCATTAGCGGAAGAATTTGTTTGCGAAAAAATCAATGCCTTGGCGCTTAAAGAAACTAGTCAAACAAAGAACTGTTCAGGTGCAAAAGCAGCTACCTTCCTGACCGCCTCCTGAGCAGTTATATCATACACACCTCAGGTTACACATTCACGATGAAGCTTGCCGCACACACTGTCTGTCGGTTTGTGCCTGGGACATGTGGACTGGGAAGTTTCGATCGAAGGTCCTTGCCAACAACGCCATACAACTGACGTGCTGAATCGCTAGATTCCAAACCACTCTCCTGAAATTGCGAACAGTAGTGTCCTTCGCCAGGCCAAACTTGTATCCCAATCCTGTCAATGTCCTTGGCACTTTTGCAGTTCTGAACACAGGTGCTGATTTCAGCCGACATGTGATGCCGCACGACATCTGTACAATGTTCAATGTCCTAGTGCTTGACGACTCCTGGCAGCTATGAACAGGATGATGCCTCGTAATGACCAGTCTTACTGTCAGCTACACTTTCACCTTCAAGTGCATAGTCATCATGACCATTTGACAACAACTATGCTCTCATCAAAACATTCACAAACCTTTGACAGGATCATCCTCATCATTGTCCTCCTCATTATCATCACTGCTAGCATCATCACCACCGTCACGATGAATCATGGTCACCGTGTATCACACGCACTAATGCCGCCGACGATTACTTTGGTCATGACCACCACCAGCACCATCACCACAGCTATGGACATGTGGCATGACCACCATACATGATTGTCATCACGGTCACCGTGACCGTGCCAAACTGTGGCCAGCGACTAGGAATCTGCGCCACCATCAGCATCAGCAGCGACACGGCAAAAGCTTAGGATTGTCGTTGCCAGCAAGAACAGTATGCATCATCACCATCCTCCTCCTCCTTATCATCATCATCGTCGCCGGCATCTTCATCATCACCCAAGCAGCAACATAACTTGGCAACCATCAGCAATTGCAGCAGCATTGACGTGAACCCAACCACCTTGACGAACAGCACCAGCAACACCAACAAGAACGTCCTGACAACAGCAGCACAGGCACAGAACGGGCATAGCATCAACACTCAACACCACTGCCCTCCAGTGTAAACTCGTGACGATATGGTCCCTGTGATCCGTGCTGTTGGCGTCTCTTCGGTAGTTCCAGGACCTGCATGTCCAAGCGCTCCAACTCGTGAACCTGACCACCGCAATTGCCCATGTGTGAGGAGACTCCGACCTCCACGTGACGGCGACAAGGAGGCGACAAGAGAGAGCGATAGAGTTGACTTGTTCCGATACAGTGCAATGTGATCTGCATGCTGCATGCCTGTCTCAGCTGCTGAATGTACAGCTTGACTTCCTCCAAACCCGACAGGCTCGAGTTCGCTGTGCACCTGCACATGAGCGAAATTCGAGCAAGGCGGTACAGAGCGTCGCTCTGTGGTTTCTGTCGAAGAGAGCTGGCACAACCATGCTGCGTGCTGGCATGTTGCCCACGCAGCTGAGATTCTGTACTCCATTGAAGCGATTGCGTCTAGGGATGTGTTGGAGATGTTTGGAGAACAAAGAGGGAGGAAGATCACTGACCCGAGTGCTAAGCTTCAGAACATGTGCATACGGCCCTTGCTGACAGGCCAGCAAGGAAATACGAAGCGTGACCTGGCAGAGTTGCCGCCTTGGCCTCAGCGCGGCACAGGACTGCTTGCAACACAATGAACATCCAGGGTGTGAAAGCGTCATGTCACAGACTTCCTCCCAAGTGCCCGGCCCATGCAGATCTGGCTCAGGCGACTGCAGCAGATGCAGCATTGAGAAGCTCTGGCAATGCTTGCATACTGGTCTGACGAAGCGGATGTGCTCGACAGCAAGACACCGTTTTGCCTCAGCACCAACACTTGCTTCTCGTGTAGCGCAAGAAGTTCCTGCGCCGTTGCTTCACGGGATTTCACACACAACATCCGCAACTGTGCACCCCCTCAGGCGTCAAAACAGTGCCGCTTTTTCGGAAACCTGCTGCTTTCGTGCATCTCACAGCTCTGATGATGGAGCTTCTCCGCCCATCATGCCGGTCATGCCTTTCAGGGTGTTGCCTCGGCTCGAAAACTCCGGTCAATTTACCGGCGAGGTCTGCAGGCGAGACACCAAGCTGCTGGAAGTATGCCTGCGCCTCTTTTCCTAAGTCTAGTTCAAGGTTCACTCTCGTCGGCGGAAATAGGCAAAACATCGGGTTACCACTAAGGCATGCTAAGCATCTCGTGACTTGCTCGTCGCCGTTTTTGTCCATCTGTTTGAACATGTCCTGCAAGATTTTGCGTTGCCCAGCCCTGGACGAAGCTGTGCAGTCTGAATGGGCCTTTGCTTTTTGAAGTGTGTCTCCATCAGCACCCGGCGGGGCCGAGACACTGGCAATCTCCGCCTCTGTGAGGATTCCGTTTCCATCCTGTCTCCGGGCCAGGTACTTATCGCAGACTGAAAGAAGGTAAAGTCGTCGGTGGTGTGTGGACTTGGGCAGCATTGCCGAATCCAAGATTCAAGCGGCCTCGACTGGATGGCCGATTTGGTTCGCTGGTTATCTTGCTGGAGCGTGTCTCTGCCACCCACCTGAAACTAATGACATTTGTCTCTGTGTCGGCCTTGTCCATTGCATTCACCATCAAGTCTGCCATGGAGTTGCCTGTGCAGGATCCCAGTCCCACCGAACAGAGAGTCAGAGGGGACTCAACATGGTTACTACTTGATCGACAGAGGTCTTTCCCGCAAAGTCTCACGCTTCTCGCCTAAAGTGGTCGGGTCCAGACTGTTCAGCGCCGACGCAGCTGCTTGCGGATTATCTGGCAATCTTTTGCGAGCACTATCAATGCAGCAAAACGGACGGTCATAAAGTAAGGCCCTCACTTTCTGTACCTTTGAATTTGTCTGCAAACGCTTGCAAGTCCTCCATGCTGCTTCCTTCGCCGGGCTTTAGTTGAGAATATAGCGAGGCTACTCGTCATGACAACACACCTACAATCAAGCGGGCAGAAACATCGGTGCAGAGCAGGAGAGATCCTGGAGGGAGAGAGAGAGAGAGAGA